TTATTCATGCATACAAGAACTGAGGTACAGGCCAGAGGGACAGGGATGAGAGGATTCACCAGAGACAGAGCAGGGAGCAGAACATACAGATTGACGAAGTACACTGCAGAGGAGAGCAGTGGGTGGGTCAGGAGAGGTCTGCTGCACCATTTGGGTCACCCTCCTGGCCAGGAATTGAACTTGTGCTGCAGTGGCTACTAATCACTTCAGAGTTGCACAACAAGGGAGGGCCCAAGCAAGGACAGACTTCTCCCCTAAAGCCCTGCAGTTTATAGCTACCTACTTTACAACCTAGTCCTGGAAGTAAAAACCACTTTGGGGTAAAAGACTCTACAACCAGTTCTCAGTAGTTGCATAAGAACTGTTTCAGCCTTCATTATCTCTAGGTAGTTTCCCTGCTTTATGTGCAAAAAAATACATGATTGTAAGAAAATATAAATTCTGTACCATATATGAGAGGAAACCTTTCAAATTACTATTAAATCACTAATAAACTCTTCTTTAGCACTTTATTCTAGGTTAGTAACCTAGAATAGGTTATTTCTAAAAATATTGTAGAGTGTATTTGAAAGCATCTAATGTTTTTTCCCTTTTATATTTTTTTCTTATTTTTATTTGTTTAGTTGTATAAAAGACTTTTAGGCTTGGTTTACATCAGAAAAATTACAAACTTAAAACCCTACCTAGTGTACCTTTAAAACGTTTACCTAAAAAAGGGACCACCCAGGTGGTGCAGGGGGTTAAGTCCCATCATTATGAAGCTATTGCACTACAGCATAAGGCCCTCCCTCCCCAACTCCCAGAGAGATGACCCACTGGCATGCCAGACCTCTCATATACCCCGCTCTGCCTCCCTCAGGAGTGTATTTCAGTCAGTCTGCCTATTCTGCTCTCTACTCTGTCTTTGGTAGTACTACCCCCCACAATTCCCCCACCTCTGGCCTATATCCCAGCTCTTGTATGCATAAATAAATAAAATCTTTAAAAATATATATATTTATTAAAAAGAAAGTATATTTTGGGCCCTCCCTGGTGGCGCAGCGGGTTAAAGCCCAGCACTAAGATGCTAAAGCCACTTCTGCATGAGTTCAATCCTTGCCCTGGAGGTGATCCACATGGCACGGCAGACCTCTCCTGACCTGCCTGCTGCTCCCCTCAGCAGTGTATTTCGTGGGTTTGCTCATTCTGCTCCCCACTCTGTTACTGGTGAATCCTCTCACTGACCCTGCACCTCTGTCCTGTACCCCAGTTCTGTATGCATAAATAAATAAATCTTTTAAAAAAAAGTATATTTTACATTCACTTTTAACCTTAATTTTTTTCATACATACCTAAAACGTGACCATTTCAGTATTTACAACAAAGATATAAACTAACCTCAGATTTAAACCTGGCTCAGTTACTTACTCGTATTACCTTGGACAACTTTTAAACTTCTTTCTAAGCTCCAAATTCTCAGCTATAAAATCAAAATTATGATAGTACCTACTTCATCGATTGTTAAAGTAATATATAAAATAAAAAGCACAGTGTTCTTAAGGAGCTTAGAAGAGTATCTAGCACACAGCTAAGAAATGTTGACTTATTTCTACAGAAATGATATATATGTGCTAATGTAATCATTCTATTAACATAGTGAGAAGTGAAAATCACCATACACATTTAGGAGTTCATGAAGGCTGCTAATTCCTTTGAATTTTTTCAATGACTTAACATTAGACATAGGATGTTCTTTTTAGAAATTCTAGGAACAAATGTTCTTCTTGCAAATTCTACTTTCTAAAAAGTATAAACTTTGCTAAGCCCTACATATGAAAAGCACAAATAAAAGAAGCCTTGTTTATTGTGTTTTCCTGGAAGCCATAAAATCTTATTCTCATTAATCTAAAATTAGAAGAGCTGATATTAAGTATTATAATAACTGATTGTTCCCATATTTAATTTAATAAATATATTGCACATATTGTAAGTTTTGTATCAATAAGAGTATTTACACATCTCATACACATCCACTGTATGGATATTATGTGCATTCCTAATAGTCTGTTCTTTAAAATATCATCATGATAATCCTTTTCAGCTAGTCTCAGCAGAGATTAAAAAGTTTATATCCTTAGTCACTATCCACCCCCACCAGCCCTCCAGGCTAAGGACATCGTGCAGACTGAGTTATTAAAGTTGATCTGAAAGAGCAATCTGTTCTAAATGACTGTCCCTGGATCTGCCTCGGAACCCTGTAAATACCCTTCATTACTCTGGTAGGGTGGTGTCACATTTCTTTCATGATACTTTTGTGGCCGACACAAGTTAGGCAGTGAGATTTGGACTTTAGATAATCCTGGTTGATTGATATAGGAGTGGTGCTTCTTCTGACAGGTAACCACAAATTTACTTTTCAGGATTATAACTATATTTTTAAATATTCATAGTTATTCTATTTACAGGTATTTGTTGTTGTTCTTCCAACTAAACTAGTTTTGAACTTGTAGTTTAAAAAATGTTTTAGTTTTCCCATGCTAGTATTTTCAAAACCACTTCAAGAAAAAGAAAATTCTTTTAAGGATTCAATTGTATTTCTTAATTACATTGTATTATGAGTTTGTATAAGACCTCTGTAATCCACCATATCTATATTGTTTCTGATGGTCAAGAACTTGTCTCAGTGATTGTTTTTCTCATTGAAAAAGTTTGGAAAATGCATGACTTTGTTCTTTAAAAATAAGGTGGAGAGGATTTTTATCTTAATCTCATTCTGGAGGAGGTACCTCAAGATAAATCTATGAACTTAAAGAAAAACTTATTGAAATTTTGTTACATGGGAGCAATTTCTTTTTAGGAATTAAAATCTCTAACTCTAGGGGGGATATAGCAAAAATCAACATTTTATATGAATCCGCTAGCACAGAAACTCTCGCGTGCTTTATCCACCCAAGTGAAGACTTCCTCTGTCATAGATCTTCCAGATTCCTTGGCATTCCTATGGATCATCCCAATGTGAGTAAATTGTTTCTGTGGCTGAGTGACTGAATTAAGATAACAGCTGAAGGCAAACACAGGATCATGTTCAAACCATAATGAATACATGTTGGAACGGCCACTCCACTTTAAGGGGAAAGCTTAAGACATGTAACTTAGTGTTTGCTGTCACTTATTAAATTTGTTTATAAAATTTTTTTTGTTTTAAAAATTATTCTTGATACTAGTAACCTCAAAAAAATTCAAGCTAAATTTTTGGTAAATCATTTATACAGTTTCTATTGATAATAAGCTGGGTAGGGGCTGCATTACTTGGAAGCAAAAATTAATTTAAAAGTAACCTAGAATCTATAAAGTTTTATATATTGTAAGCAAGATAGCTACAGTCGTTGAATATTATTTATTTTAAATATTTGTATACAGATTTTTCCCAAAAAGTGCAAAACATTTTGTACACCATCTGTATTTTGGAAATATTACAGTAAAAATGTTCAATTGTTTTTTTTCTTTTTGCATTTAGATTTATTTTGATTCTTTCTATTAATTTCTAATTCCACTGCTCTATTTTTGTCTCTCAGTATGTGTTTTTTTCACACCTCAATATTCTATACCTAGGTGAAAGATACCAGGCTTATGATGCAGCATTTAAAGGGAGCTAAAATTGTGATCATTTAGAGTATGCACAAGCATTTTCCTTTAGAAAACCAAATGTTAGCCACCTATTTGCTACCAAAAATAGAGGTCTCACTTTCCCATGCCCCACCCCAAGGCCTAGCAGCATTTACATTGATTATAAAAGAAAATCTCTTTAAATAAAACAGAATTGCTGGATCATTTGCACAAATAGAAAATACAGACAGACAGTAGTGTTAAGGTCAATATTGGCACAGGAATAGTTAGGCGAAAGAGCAAATGAACCTCTATACTGATAATTGAATTTTTGCAGTCATGAGAATAGCTATATAATTCAGCTTTCTTTGTACTCTTCCCTCCTCAGGAATAGTTCTTTTGACCCATATTATTTAACATGCTCTTCAATTCTCTTTTTCATTTTAATTGTGTAAACACAATGGCTCATAGCAAATGGTATAGTGAAATCTTTGATGTGCTCATAATAAATATATTTTATATTGATTCAATCTACTACAGGAATTCTGACAATGATGAAAAAGATAAAATTATCTTTCACTAAATTCTATAAGTTCAAGAATTTTGGTATATTTTATACACTACTTTATATTCAGTACCTGGTAAATGGCAGTTATTAGAAAAATGTTCACTGAATATATGGATGAGAAGAAATCCTAATAAATGGACGAATGGTTTAAGAAATGCATAGAAACCATTGTATTTTGCTATCAGAATTGAAGGATGATCTTAAAAAAAAAAGATAAGCAATGGTATTATCTGAATTTTTAAAACCAGGTCTTCTACCAAGATTGATGATGTTATAGAAAATAATGTATACTAAACATTGGGGTTCAGTTTTTCTTTTTGCAATATCAAATTCTTAAAATTAATGAAGTTGATGTCAAAGAACCTATACTTTGACAAAGTTGATATTTGAGCAGGTGTTGGTTTGGTTAAGGTTGTACTCTTTTTAATGATTTGTATTGCTTGAGAAGAAAGATACCTCGCATCAATACTTTTCAAAAAGTTATCCTGGTTACTAATACACAAACAGGATTTGTAGCATGTTAATTTTGACTTTTAAGTAGTATCTGATAAGTTTTTTTCTGAAGCAGTTTGCTGAAGCTAATTTGTTACTGGGTTTATTCTCAGGCTGATGTTTTTTTCCTCTTCATTTGCTCAGTTATTTCTAACTATTAATGCTAATTATCTTCCCACTTTTGCTTAGCCTTTGGACAAACGATTCAAAAAACTCTCTGCTTTAAAATCTTAGACTTCAGCTTCCTATTGGCTTTCCATAGCTAGATTTTCTGAAATGTATCAGTGATTAAATGAGAGTGAATTTCCAATTCATTGAAATTAAAGTTCTTGAAAATTAAAAATTTTTATGTTTTAAAAATAATGCCATTTTCTTTGATAGATAGAATGTAGTATAACAAAGTTAGTATTAATCCCAAATGTAAATAAACAACTTGGGCCTCTAGATATAAAGGAAATTCTATAGTTAGAAAAACTTATTGACACCTACCACCCAGAGGTGCTGTCCTGCTATGGAATCCCTTTACTTAGTTTTCTCCTGTCCAATCAGGTGGAATGTTTCTCAGGCACATGGTTTATAAAGCTCAAAATAACTTGGGACCTGTGAGCTGACAAATGCTCTGGCTCCAGTGGTGACAGGTTGTCCAGCTTCTTACAGCCATCTTCACTGAAACTAAGGTTAACTCCTCACTCTCTATGGACGGCCACTCTCTAGTTCCAAGGGCGTGAAGAATTTCCTTTTTCTCCTGAGCTTTCATCTAAAAAACTCTCCTTGGACAATTATCATCACAGTGGACTGCCGGGGTTGGACATCCTCATCTGGGTCAACTAAAAAAAGAAAGGTAATATCCAGCTTTACATTCTCAAGTGTGTTTTGATAACAGGGCACTGACAATGGGGAAAGAGATATTTCAGAGATCTAATTACTGTTGTTTAGAGAGAAACCTAGGATAAATTTCTAATTATGTGTAATGAAACACAAAATTATGAGAGAGTAAAGTTTTCAACATGTAAATATGTTGGAGGGGATTGATGAGACTTTCCGAGATCACAGCCTACTTGCATCTTAAGGAAAATTCTCAATAGAGAAAGTTGTGAAATGTTGTGTATATTATTGACATTTTTCCATATCTTCATTTACTAAAGTAATGATGTTCCTATAGAGAATTTGTGTACAATTCCTATTTCCTTTTTAAAGGAAATTAAATCTAAAATAATAAGACTCCACAGTCTTTCATTTTAAATTTTTTTATCATGTAAAAGGATATGCTTGCTATATTTAGTGTTGGGAGATCTGCTGCCTGGATTAATGTACACAACAGCTGCAGAAAGTCTTACTCAAAGGACATTGGTTTTTCTTTCTCCTTTCTCTCTCCCTCTCTCTTTTCTCCCTTTCTCCCTTCCTTTTCAACAAAAAGACACTTGTGAGCTAGTGGCAAGTGTTTGGCTGTCACTTTATACTGTTAGCACTTGATGCATATCTTGAACTCTATTTCTAAAACCACGTAAGCAAAGAAAAAGAGAAAGTGGGTTAATCTGAATTTCCATTTCCCAAAAGTGAACATGACAGTAATAGTACTGGGAAATTTTATTATCAATGGAGCTTTACTCATTGCTAAAGACATTAGCATCTATCAGCTTGAAAGAAAAAAAAAAACAGGTATTGCGTTTTCTTTCTCAAAAAATTATGACTTCATTGCTTCCATGTTATTAATGATAAAATTAATTCCATGAGTTCTAAATGAAGATTTTATCACCTTTTAGTCTTTCCTTAATGCTTAATAATAAATTGATATAAATCCATATTTACTTTCTAATAATTAAGAATATCTATATTGATGTCTATAATAAATGATTTTATAACTAACATGCAGTCCAACACATGATTTGATAACAAGCAAAATGTTTGCAATGAAGACCATCTAAGAAATCTAAAATATATGGACACCACTTATTTTGTCAAGAGACATGATAGACATTACAGAACCTGACAATAATGGACATGAAACAAACTGTTGGACAATATCCAAATTCTGGAAACTTGTCTCTATCTCCACTTATAGAATATGGCTAACACTGTTGGAACTCATACTGTGTCAAAACCCCAGCATTCCATGTGTGTATCATTTGAATGTTTCTATTGCAAACTGCTTACAAAGGCACATATTCAGTTGAATGGACTCAGAGCCATCCTTCAGAGACCCAAGAAACTGAATGAATTTTTATAATGGCTAGGTATTGAAATTCAGATAGATGGTTTTTCAAATTTACTTTGAAGAAATGGAACAGCAAATAAATCAGATTTTCCTGTGAAAGTTCTCTAATGAACTAAGGTTAATATAGGCAAACGTGACAGCTAAACTTTTCAACAGTTAATCTCTATACGTAATAAGAGTAATGAACTCATCTCACCAACTTGAAAATATAAGGTGAAAAATATGACTAAGCTTAGAATAATTTCTTTCATCGACATTGCAATTTGCCAAAGGTGTCACTTATAATATGGTATTGCTTATAACAAGACCAAAAAAAAATAAAAGATTTTCTTAACTTTTTCCCTCTACTAAGAGAGACTGAACACTGAAGCACCACAGAGATATTTTCCTAAATGTCTTTGGTGCTTCATAGAAATGTCATTCCTTTATTTAAAGGATGACAAAGCTTTTAAAACTCCTAGGGTGTTGCATGTTTACTCAAGCCAACTACAGACAGAATCGTCTGCTTAGAAATTTAAGAACCTATGTTCAGAAGACACACTTTCAGTGGGCACAAATTAATTTGGTGTGATTAATTACCTGCTGTCACTAAAAAGTTCTTCGAGTTCATATAAAACCAGAGTCACCTTGACAAACTCTGTACAGACTGCTTGTTACAGAGGCCACATGGTGTCATAATGCCCCAGTGTTCTGGGAAGAGCCCAGACAACCTCTCCACTGCTGTTTGATCAAGATCTTGAGATCTCGAGCCTATGTGGGGCAGTTGTTCTTTTTGCAATCTAGCTTATTGTGTTATGTCATTTAACTAGCAAAGTCATCTTTTTTCCAAATTACCTTAAAAAATGACAAATACGTTCCCTCCCTGGTGGTGCAGCGGGGTAAAGCACTGCACTAAGAAGGTGAAGCCACTTCCGCATGAGTTCGATTCCCTCCTGCCCCGGAGGTGACCACATGGCGTGGCAGACCTCTCCTGACCCACTCGCTGTTCCCTTCAGCAGTGTACTTAGTCGATCTCCCTGTTCTGCTCCCCACTCTGTCTCTGGTGAACCCTCTCACCCTCCGCATCTCTGGCCTGTACCCCAGTTCTGTATGCACAAATAAATAAATCTTTAAAAAAAATGACAAATACTTATTAGAGACTAGAAAAAGAAAAAAAATATTAATTTTTTCCTTATTTTTCTTCTTTAAAATGAACCTTTGAGTAAGTGGGGATTGACAGCATCTTCTCATTTGGGATTTCATCTGTAAGATTAAAGTGCATCATGAATGGTGTGGCCTTAAGAGTGCTACAACCTCTCAGACTGATCATTTTTGTGACTACCAGACACTTTTGGTCTTAGACTCCTGAAATATTCTTGTTTGCTTTCATTAGTGTTTCTATGAGTCATAAAACTGCCTTTTACTATTTCTTTGCTGTCTTTAAGACTAAATACTATGTTGGAATCAGTATCTTTTACTAGTGTTGCCAAACTCCTGTTGTCCTCCTCCAGCTAAATCTTTACTTTCTTTCCCACCTTTCTTCCTTTACCAATTTGATTTTAAAAAAAAATAATAAGGGAATGGATTGCTCACCTTTGGCCTTTTATCTAAACACTCTTTTAGAGTGTTTCAACCTACTTCCTTTAGACAATGTCGCTCATTAAAACAATTCTCCTGTTTGTCACCTCTATGCTGTCTATTTCAACATTCAACCTTCTCTTCTAAGGCATTCATTTGCTTTTTTTATTTGCTTCTTTTCCTCTTTCGAAGTGAAAGAAGAATTAAAAGACTAGGGCATGGTATTTTTGTATTGACATTGATATATTTCCATATGTCTCAAGTTCTTATTCTGGTAATGTAATAGATACTTATGAAACTATTAATGTCATTCACACTGAAAATAAAACCAAAATTGGGGGGGTGATCACTTTACTAATGAGATGAATATTGTAACAATGAAGAAGGATTAACCTCAAAATGCCTCCATCTGTAGACAACTCTTTAAAAGGTGACTATACCCAACCCTCCAAAACTACTTCCTATATACTGGATTTGATTCTTGTCCCATAAAGAGTTTCTTCAAAAGAAATGACTTAAAGACTTTTTGTGTGACATCATGGTATATAAAAGGCAAAACAAGCAGGTCAATACTAGCATTAAAGAGAGGGAGCAAAGTCTAATTTTGAAAGTTATGCCCCTAAAGAATATGGTAAGTTTGATGAGTACAAATCAGCAGAAAAGGATTGCCTTAAATTTGTAGAGGATATTTTTAAGTGCTTCACAAACAAATTGTGAATTAAGCAGACAAGTTCTGCTCACTCTCAACTGAGTAACTCTCAGTTACTTAAAGATGTCTTTACTTTCCCATTCCAGGACTCCTCACAAACGATTATTAAGAATTAGGCTCTTTTTAACCTAGAAAGCATATTTGTTTTCTCATTTAAATACCTAGTATTTATGTTTGTGTCCAAGTTACCTCATTTTAGGCATTACCAATTCTCCAATTAATGCCCCAGTTTAAATAGTCATATAATAAACAAAAGATGATTTTCACCACATGATATTTCTGTAGATCTTCTTACAGAGCCTAAAGAAGAAAAGTACTGAGTTAACCTGAACTGAAATATATGTCCTTAGGTATTAGCATTGAGTTTTATTTTTATGAACTAGGCTCATATTTTCAGCAAGTTCTTACTCTTTTCAGGAAAGCCTATAAGGAACAAAATAGATAAACTTCCTATGTGGTCAAATTAGGTTGTATTATTTATTAAAATATCTATCTTGATATTGGTGCAACACTATTTCATTTCCATCTAAGTCTATTCAGTCAATCCCATGATCTGTTTTTAAGGATAATCACTCATGCTTTAATACCTATTTTCAAAGTGACATAAAATCCAAGTTTCAATTTTGTAAGGAGGAGAAGAGAAAAAACAAAGTCCAGTGTCACTCTAAGCACTTCGATGAAATGTCTATGAAAATTTTTAATTTACTTTCCTTAAAACTTGCTACTGCTTCATCCCAATAAACAAGTCTGCCAGTCACCTAGTTACTCAGGCCATAAATGATGTAGTTACCCTGACTGTTCTCTCTCATTTCCCACTTTCAGTCCATCAGTAAACCCCTATTCTACTTTTAAAACATTATTTTGGGCCCTCCCTGCTGATGCAGCAGGCTTAAGCTCAGCACTACGAAGTTAAAGCCACTGCAGCATGAGTTCAATTCCTGACCAGGGAGGTGACCCACATGGCGTGGCAGACCTCTCCTGATCCTCCCACTGCTCCCCTCAGCAGTGTGCTTCATCAGTCAGTCTGTTCTGCTCCCTGTTCTGTCGCTGGTGAACCCTCTCACCACCCCTGCACCTCTGGCCTGTACTCCAGTTTGGTACACATAAGTAAATAAATCTTTAAAAAAAATTATCTCAAGTTGACCTCTTTGCACCATCTCCCCCTGTTACCACTCACTGATCCAAGTCACTATTACCTTTCATAGCATATTACAATTATCTCCTGACTAATCTCACTTCCACCCTGGCTTCCTTCAACTGGATTCTTTGCATAGCAGTCATGATTGAACTCTTTCAAAATTATGCCATCTGCTTCTCAAACTTTAAAATGGTTTCCCACGGCTCTCCCTGGTGGCGCAGTGGGTTAAGGCACAGCACTGAGAATCTAAAGCCACTTCCGCATGAGTTCGATTCCCGCCTGCCCCGGAGGTGACCACATGGTGTGGTAGACCTCTCCTGACCCGCCAGCTGCTCCCCTCAGCAGTGTACTTCATCCATCTGCCTGTTCTGCTTCCCGCTCTGTCTCTAGTGAAGCCTCTCACCACCCCTGAGTCTCTGGCCTGTACCCCATTTCTGTATGCACAAATAAATAAATCTTAAAAAAAAAAAAAGGTTTCCCACAACATATTTAATAAAATTTTAATTCCTTAACATGGTCTGCAAGGCTTTACATGACATGGCCTTGTGCCATGCTGACTTCCTTTCCATGTGCTCATCTTACTCACCTCCTGGCCCACTAAACTTGACTCAAGTATACCAAACATTTACCTTCTCAGGCCCGGATACTTAATTCCTCCTCATCAGGGATATTTTTCAATGAGCCCTAGGTGACGTTCTCTTCTGCATATGAAACTTTGCCTGAACTTCCTCGCTAAAACAGCACACCCCCTTCAACCCTCATCATTCTCTATTCCCTTTGTTTTCTTCTTGGTATTTATATCTCTTTAATAGGATATCAACTCTACCAGCTCAGGGACTTTGCTGTTATTCATTGCTGAATCCACAGTGCTTAGAACATATGAGACATTCTTTTTTACTGGATAAATAAATGAAAACTAGGTAATCCATAATAATATTCTTACTTTTTAAACTTGCAAATTTTATAGCATAGCTTTTAAATTAATGATTGAAGATTTTCCTATTCTGTGTGTATTTATAAGTTTATCAGTTTACATATGTTTTTTCTCTGAGAACCTTCTGAAATAGAATGACTATTCCATCTGATCACTGAAGATAATTGAGATTCAGATGCATTAAGTGATGTGCTCAAAAGAACTAAAAATTCAAACCCAGGTTTTCTGACTTATATCAGCTGTCCTTTGGGACTTCTGTTATGGGGGGTTGAGGGGGGAGCATAGATACAGTTATTTTATCTTCCCTAAATTTTCATTTGAAAGTCAACTTGAAATCATTTCTGTCTTTATCAGTTTATATTTTCTTTGCATCTGTAAGCTTTTGTAAATATGATTATCATTCATCTGTCCTACTTTACCCTAAAATTAAAAGCAAAAGATAAACAACAAAATATTTATCAGGAAATTTTATTGAAAAAAGAATTCAACAGATACTCACCTTCTATGTACTGTGTGTCTGTGTGCTGAGAAGATGGTATGCAAAACAAAGTGGATAGACAGAGAAGCAAATTGGAAAATTTAATAATATATTGTAATAGTGCTTTGTTTAGGGGTAAGGACAGTGAGCTTTGGGAGAAACTTGTAGAAGTACCCAGGGAAAAGAAGAAACCCTAGGGCAATATCTTAGCTAAGAACTTGAAGAACATGTGGGACTTGGTCTGGTAAGGAAGTAAAGGGAGGTGAAACAAGGAATAGCCTAGCAAAGATAATGCACAAAGATCCAAAAGTAGCAGAACCTGTCCATGAGATTACTTGATAGATATGCCAAATTAATTACAAAACTAGAGGACAGTTCCCTTCAAATTTTCCTTGAATCAAATCACTTCATTAGTTCTAGTTCTAGCTATAGTATGTGGTTATAGTTATTATATAGTAACAACAAACATACTAGTAACTATCACTTATTAAATGTTTACTAAACACCAAACACATTTAATCATCCCATCAGTCTCTGACAGCGACTGTTATTAGCCCAGTTTTATTGATGAGTAAACTGAATCTTGTACATTTTTTCAAGTTTATACACAGGTGATGTGTCAGACATTTGAAACAGATCTATCTCAGGTGAACACATTAGGAAATAAATGACACATTAAAACAAAGAAATCCTTTATTTTGAATAACTGAAAATTGTGTTATCATGAAAGTTTCTCATAACCTTACACGTCAGAAAACTTGTGGACTTACGCATCAATTTTTTACTTCTTAAAAAGAAAGCACTGGGCCCTCCCTGGTGGTGCAGCAGGTTAAAGCACAGCACTGAGAAGCTAAAGCCACTTCAGCATGAGTTCAATCCCTACCCCAGAGGTGACCCACATGGTGTGGCAGACCTCTCCTGACCTGCCCACTGCTCCCCTCAGCAGTGTACTTCATCAGTCTGCCTGTTCTGCTCCCCACGCTATCTGGTGAACCCTCTCACCACCTCTGCACCTCTGGTCTGTATCCCAGTTCTGGATACATAAATAAAGAAATCTTTTTTAAAAATAAAGTACTAAGACCTTCCCAGTGGCACAAGGGGTTTAATCTTAGTATAAGAAGCTATTGGCAGCCACTGCAGCATGAGTTCAATACCTGGCCAGGGAGGTGACCCACATGGCTCAGCAGAACTCTCCTGTCTCACCTGCTGCTCTCTTCAGCAGTGTATTTCAGTAGATCCACTTTTTCTGATCCCCACTCTGTCTCTCATGAATCCTCTCATCTCCTGTACTTCTGGCCTACAGCCCACCTCTTATATGCACAAATAAATAAAATAAATCTTTAAAAAAAATAGAAAAGTACTAACAGAGAACAGTGATTATGTAGATGAGTATTTTGTTTTCTATTTGGATCATAAATATAAACTTTTTGAAAATTCTTCGATATGAACATCACCTTTACCTACATTTTGTATTTTACTAGTACTAGTTCAGCGGCCATTTCTATTGGCTGACCCTGTTTTAAGGATTTTACATTTATGATATTATTAAATCCTCACTTTCCTGAGAAATAAATATTAACCATGTTTTACAGATGAGAAACTTAAAACTCAGAGAACTTAAATAATTTTCTCAAAATCACACAACTACTAAAAGGTCAAACCAGAACTTGAAAACAGAACTGTCCTATTCCAAGGCCAGTGCTCTTTCCATGTTGCCTCAAGATAAAACTATCTTATATAAAGAATAAATTTAAAATACAATAAATAACTATGTTCAAGTAAAAAGAGAAGATCACCTTGATTATAAAGCAATCAATTTTCCCCCTCGCAATTTAGACATATTGAAACCAAATAAACTAATGAAATCGTTGGTTTATAAATCAGATTTCAAAAAATTTCTTTGATTGAATTTTAAGTCACATTTTGCACCTTATTTCATATTTATTTAATTGTTCTTTAAAGTATTCTTAGTAGACAAATTAGACAAATTTTTAATTCCACATATTATTTTGTGTACAATTTTTTGTCTCAACAAAATTTAAAATAGCCATATATTCTATGTAATAAAGTTATTAGTACTTCAATTAATGAGGTTTTTCTTGGATACGGCTGTAAAATTTTAATATTTTCTTCTATAGTATCATGAACACCTTTGTGTTCATTGCATACATTCAACATCTTTGCATTTCAGTTACTTTTTTTTTTTTTTTTAAGGAAAAGTAGACTTCAGCCAAGTAAGTGGCCTCAAAAATGGAAAACTCAGACTGTGGCAAAATGTGGGAAAATTATTTGCTGCTGGTGGTCCTTTTAGCTGCTTCTAATTGCTCTCTCAAAGATATTCTCTCTTTTGCCAATTTGAAGGCTACCTTTGGATAACTCTCTAAGATTCTGAATACTAGGGCAATACGTAGGAAGCCTTATTTGTGATATGTGAGGCTAAAGGAAATGAAGGAATGAGTTGAAATAAGTTTGCCATAGAATCTCAAAAGCCAGAAAAGATTTAGGACATTACTTTTCTATCATCCCACACAAGGCCCAGCATGTAGTAACCAAGAATGATAAATAGTGTTCATCTCCATGACCATTTGTTATTGGTTGGTGGTAACTGGAGTGAAGTGTTGAAATCAATGGGAAGGTGCTACAATCAAGTAACTGCATTTTTTTTTTTAAGCAGAGAGGGAAGTAACAGCCAATGAGTTGTAAGCTAGTTATCCTTCCATTACATGTGTGAATAAGATATGTAAAAGTGTTACTAAGATAAAATCAGTTTGCATTACAAAATCTAATTCAGAGGACTTTGAACTAACATTATCTGTACTCCTTTAAAACTTCAAAAATAATTCCTTTTTTTGAATTTGTGATCTATACACATAGTTAAAATTCAAAAGTCAGGAAATTTTATACAATTGGAAATATCCTACCTTTCACTTGTTTCCCTATCTCCCATATTCTCTCTTAATCAATATTAATTTAAGAGAATTTTACATAAGTCTCTAACTCATAATTTTGGTGAGAAATTAGTTGTACCATATTTGAAGAGGCTAAGTCAAGTCTTCAGAGCATATTGAGTCTATAAAAAGCATCGGATTTAGACACAAGTCACCAGTCAAATGACAAAAGCATTATTTATTTTTATGAGCTAGAACAAGTTTATATTTTCAGTAACTAGATGAGACAATATCAATCAGTGTCTTTTAATTTCCATTATTTTGCTATATACAAGGTAAATGGAGATCAAATCTCTGTATGAAATTCCTTTAAAACTAAAATTTCTGTACAGATATTATCAAAATTATGTTTAGAAATGATAAAATCAGTATAGTCATTTAATAACTTTTGCAAATTAAACTTGCACTTAAAGAATATAACTCATGTTTTTATTTTCAACTTCAGGGAAATCTCAGTCAATTCCTCTTTATTTTACAATTTGAGAATAATCTTTAAGTTCAAAGTGTGTGAAAGCATCAAAACACAGCAATATTTTATTTCAAATTTTAAGTTCTTAACAATCCATCATGTTCTAATAAATATAGAATATCATTCACTAAAAATGATCCAAACTTTTTGTTATTGTTATTTTGTGACAGCATGCAAGAAGACAGCCTAGAGGCATCTACTTCCATATCTCAGCTTCTACGAGAGAGCTATTTAGCTGAAACTAGACATCCAGGAAGTAATGAGAGAAGTCGAGCAGAGCCTTCCTCCAACCCTATTCATTTTGGCAGTTCTGGAGCTGCTGAAGGAGGAGGAGGCCAAGATGACCTTCCAGATCTTTCAGCCTTTCTGAGTCAAGAAGAATTAGATGAAAGTGTCAATCTGGCAAGATTGGCAATCAATCATGACCCTTTGGAGAAAACAGATGAAGCTCAAGCTAGAAAGCGTCTTTCTTCTGATCAAATGAAACACTCACCTAAGCCAAGTTTTGACCCCAACTTTTGCAATGATAACTCTCGAAGTCTTGCCAGTTCCAAAGAGAGTCCCCAGGAGACAAAGAGACCACAGTATAGTTCTGAAACCCAATCCAAAAAAGTATTCTTAAATAAAGCTGCTGATTTCATCGAGGAACTATCATCCCTTTTCAAAGCCCATAGCTCCAAAAGGATTAGACCTCGTGCCTGTAAAAACCACAAGAGTAAATTGGAATCTCAAAACAAAGTTATGCAGGAAAATAGCTCCAGTTTCTCCAGTCTATCAGAAAGAAGAGAAAGATCTTCTGTTCCCATCCCTATCCCTGCAGACACCAGGGATAATGAAGTGAATCATGCTCTTGAACAGCAGGAAGCAAAGAGACGGGAAGCTGAGCAGGCTGCCAGTGAGGCTGCTGGTGGAGACACCACCCCAGGGTCTTCACCTTCATCATTGTATTATGAAGAACCCCTGGGGCAACCTCCCAGGTTCACTCAAAAGTTAAGGAGCAGAGAAGTTCCAGAAGGAACCAGAGTACAGTTGGATTGCATAGTGGTAGGAATTCCACCACCTCAAGTAAGGTAAAAATGTCCCATTAGTAATGTTTGGTAATTGTTTTCCTCCTACTATAATTCTCCTGAATTTATCTTTTAGTATGTTTCAATAATTGCATACTCCCTTTGAGAAAATAGAGCCTAAAACAGCACAGTTCAACACAACAGTGAATTGCCTGTCCTATATTATGTTGTCTCCCTAGCCACCTAATTGCTACTAGAATATTTTTTACTATTTACTATTAAAAGGGTTGTTTTTTTTTTGTTTTGTTTTGTTTTGTTTTTTTTTACTATTTAAAGTACTTTTGGGGTATATAAATGGGGCCACCTTTTTTGTATGGAATATTCTTTCTATAGGATAGTAAAAGTACTAGTTTCAATATTTTTAGTTTTATATGTGTGTGTGTGTGTGTGTGTGTGTGTATGGAGAGAGATTCAAGAAATTCTAGTCTAAAGGCATGTTCATATTCAGTTTCGCTTTTCAAAGCCAATATCAAGCAGTATTAAATATTATTTCTACAATGATAAATTTTATTACCAGGTTATCCAAGTGACCATTCACCAGAGGCAGAGTGGGGAAGCATAACAGGCAGATCGATGAAGTACACTGCTGAGGGGAACAGTGGGCGGGTCAGGAGAGGTCTGCCAAGCCAGGTGGATCACCTCCAGGGTGGGGATCGAACTCATGCAGAAGTGGCTTTAGCTTCTTAGTGCTGTGCTTTAACCTGTTACGCCACCAGGGAGGGCTAGATATGTTTTTTAACTTAAAAAAGGGAAACCCAGGCTCTCCCTGGTGGCGCAGTGGGTTAAAGCCCTTGAGCAAGCCACAGGCAGTTTCAGTGCCAGTTCGTCCCAACCGTGGAGGTGATCCACATGCGTGGCGGACTTCTGCCTAGCCCCACTACTCCCCTCAGCCGGATGCTTCCTGTTCTGCCTATTCGGTTCCCCACTCTGTCTCTGGTGAATCCTCTCATTGTCCTTGAGCCTCTGGCCTGTACCCCAGTTCTGTATGAATAATAAAAATCTTTAAAGAAATAAATAATAAGGGGGGAGCCCCATAATCCTTCAGGATCCAGCTTCAAACTCATAAATTTTTCAGGCATCTTTGCAATCACCAAATCAGTCACCAAGTTCAGCTTGATTTTTTTCCTAAATATTATTGCTCACTCACATCTTTTTTCTGCTTTCCACACTCCCCACCCCACTGACCAAATCAGCTGATGGTCTTTTACTATGTGCTCAGCACTATGATCAATGCAATGACAGAAACACTATAAATATGTGTCTTTACAAGCCACAAGAACTATCAGGATTCAGAGAAGGAATGAAACTCTAGAAAGGTCAAAGAAGGCTTTGGAGACAAAGGGGGTTTTAGTTGAAACTTGAAGACTGAAAAGGATTTAAGTAGATATTTACTTATTGTCATTCATCCATTCAACAAATACTTATTTTGTTACTGAAATAACTCACTGAAAATACAAAATGATTGTGTTCTGTTAGAAGCAAGATCTTATTTTGAAACCAAGTCTAAAACTATTCTGAAACTGTAGGTCATAATCTAAAGAGCCATCAGGCAGGCATGTAATTGAAACATTGCAGTACTATACAGTGAGTTCTAACAACAACTTGTATAGGATGAAATGACAAAGGAAGAGGTGGTTATTTTTGCCTAGAGTACAGGAAAAAGGAAAAATTGACATAGGAGAATCCACTTTAGCTTGAGGAAACCAAAGGTGCATGAAAAAAAAAACAAACAAATGGATAAAAACAAAAAATACAAAGCCCCAGAAACAAGTTTTTCAAGCAACTCTAAGTACTTAGCTGTGTGAACATGGGGTAACAGATATGAACCTACAAGTAAAGAGAAAAATTGAAGAAACAGTCAAAAGAATGTTTTGGTTTTTTTTTAGGTCAGGTCAATTCAACATATTTCTTACTCATCCTTCCTATTACCAAGTCAGTCACCAGAGACTGTAACAGTAACAATATTTTTATATGCTGGGGAAGATACTGATGTAACTGGAAAGGAGAGAAGGAACCAGATGGTTTTGAAGAGCTTTGAAGGCAGGTTTCAAAAGCATCAGAAATCATTTAAGATTGTATGTAGGAAAATACCAAGATGAAATGGAACATTTAAGTAGAACTAGACTAGAAGAATGAACTAGACCAAATAGAATAGAGCCCTGAGCCCATATAGGAAACCGTGGAAGTTATCCCAGGCATCAGATAGTCTGGTCAGACTGGGGTGGGGAGTGTAGAAAGCAGAGAAAAGATATGAGAGAGCAATAATATTTAGAAGAAAAGAAATCAACCTGAAATTGGTGACTGATTTGGTGATAGGAAAGATGATTGAACGTTTATAATTTGGAAGCTGGATCCTTAAGGATTATGGGTATCACTTTTTTTTTTAAGTTAAAAAAACTATATAACAGGATAGTACTACTGGGCACCCCCTAGAACAATGGGGTGACAGGCAAGGACTAAGAAGATGGAAGAAGTTACTGATTTATGGAGGAGCCTGATGGTCTAAATCTTATGGACAGGGGAACCATATTTAATAGACAGAAATTCAGGACTGAAGATAAATGAGGATAATGGAATTGGAGACATGCCAGTGAATGACCTGGACACTGGGAAAAGTCTGACACAATCTCTCTGTAATGACTAACTCCCAGTAATGCTAGACTGGGGTAGTGTTTTCTATTCTTCCTTTAACATAACTTTTCTTCCCACACTTCTCCCCATAGCAAATCTGTTCCATGTTACTGCAATACATACTTTACACTCTTTGTCTTTTTAAAATTAAAAAGGCTTGGGGTGGAGAGTACCTGCCACCCCACATGTTTATTCACCACTGAAACACCTATGGTGCTTCCATTGAACCCAAGAGCACAGATTTTGATCCAGAAGTTTCCTTTTTTAAAAAATGCATTAAAATATTAATGAAACATCTGGGCTTTCTATATAGGAAACTCACACTAAAAAAGTATCTTTTTTTGCTATTTTCACTAGAAAAAGTAATTAAGAATCTCTGATAACTGAGGTCTGACCTTATACTTCTGTCCTCCTGTGTATAATCAGTATTTCATGCATGTTCTTGTAATACTAATTTGACAAATTAAAAAATTATTTTTGGAACTATTGCTGACCTGCAAATTAATTAAGTAGAAATGTTGGGTTTTTTTAAGGTGGAATTCTAAAACACTGAAGTTAGTTAGCATTTTTGAAAACCTGTTAATCTTGAGCATAGCTTCCTTGGAGGAGTTGTTCTAGAAAATGAAATATATTCATATGTTAAGCACAGATGAAAGAGTCTGCAGGAATTCACAACAAATGGTCATGATCCCTTCATGTGTCCTGCCTCCAAATTCTTTTCTCAGGAATGTACAGCTGGGTTACACCAAGTATGTTTGCTTATATAAAACCTTCTGAAGCAGCACAATTTACCCTTTATAGATGTTGATGCCTGCCTGACTGTTAACTTTTGCTATTGCTACTTCTGGAAGTGCAAGTAGTATGCTGAGGAAATAAAAAGAAAAAAAATAAACTATAAAGATAAAGAGTACCTCAAAGGAGACAGGGGAGATCTTTAAAAAAATCTTTAAAAAACAAAACAAAACAAAACATCACATTATTAAAGAGTTTTTCTTTGTACCTTTTAGAAAAATCTACATATTCATTCATTCATACCATAAATATTAAGTGTCTATTAAATGCCATTATATTGTTATAGGCACTAAGATTAAAGCAGCAAATGGGAAAAATTCTCTGCCTTCCTGGAACTTAGAGTCTAGTCAAGAACACAGATGACAAGCAAACTAGGTGATTTGGATAATCTATTGTTATCACCTAGATGATAAGCAAAAATGACTCTATGATTATGGTGATGGTAAATATTATGAAGGAGGATACTATAACAAGAACCAAACCTTGAAAGTAGGTTGGCAAAGATTTCCTTGAAAAATGCTGTTTCAGCTGAGACCTAAAAGACTAACAGGTAAAGTGGGGTCTGATGAAAAGTATAGCAGTCAGAAGGAACAGCAAACTTGAAACCCTAAGGCAGCAAGAAAATTGCTTAGTTTTAGCACATGATGTCACCAGAACATGAAGAGTGAGAAGGAAATCGTTTGTGATTATGTACAAAAGGGAGTAAGGGCTAGATGTCCAGATCCTCCTAGAATGGTCTATTCAAAGCAGGTCCCAGAACCAGTAGGAACTCACCTGGGACTAAGGTGGATATTCAGATTCACAGGTAAATCTTGTTCCTACTGAACCAGGATCTTTAGGGATAAGGCTGAGACACTGCGGGGTTTTGTTTTCCTCCAAATTTTGTATATTGCAGTAAAATAGGTTTAGATCTTTGTATCAGCTCTGGGAGTTATAGATTCAAGCCTCTACAAATGTGTGCTTTCACACCCTACCCACCTCCAGTGCTCCAAGAATCCTCTGCCATGTCCCACTAGTCCCCTTCCTAATACCAAACTTTTTTAAAACGATGTGTTTATTTATACATACAAGAACTGGGCTGTAGGCCAGAGGTGAGGAGGTGAGAGGATTCACCAAAGATAGAGTGGGGAGCAGAACAGACAGATGTACTGAAATACACTGCTGAGGGGAGCAGGGGGCAAGACAGGAGAGTTCTGCTGTGTCATGTGGGTCATCTCCCTCGCCAGGGATTGAACTCATGCCGCAGTGGCTGATGATAGCTTGATAGTGCTGTGCCTGCAACCCCTGTGACACCAGGGAGGCCCTAGAAATAAACTTCGAAAACTGAGACAACCAGAGGGGCAAGATGGTGGGGTGTGACATTGTGTTTTAACAAACTGCTACCTGTTTCTGTATTTGTTTCTGTTGTTTTCCTGTTCTGTTTCTTGACAGAGGTGCTGCAATCTCCTCTTAAGCATATGTCCCTCAGTTGTTATTCCAACAATACACTCCTCACAGACTCTTTCTTTTGGAGTCATTTCACCCTAGCAAATGATCCCTTGAGGTGTGATCTGTTTTAAGAGGGAAAACCAAGCTAATTT